ACGGTAGTAATGAGGCCAAAATGTCACTCAAAGTATCCCAGCCAAAATCCACCACTGTATAAATAATGGGAAGCCAAATCAAGTTTAAGCTGATGAGTTGTCTTTATTGGCAAATATTTGACTATTTCATGCACATCAGTTAGAATGAGTGTCATAAACTTATTATATTGTTGCCATATGAATTTGCATTTCTCTCTCACACTTTCTTTGTTAATGAATTTCAGGAAATAATTGATGAAAAACTTATGACAGAAACATTGTTAATTACTTATGAAGTGTTTATGCTGAAGATGAAACTAGGAAAATTCTGTTATATCCTTGTTCTTTATCCTATTAACAATTTTTCAATTTTAGATTTCCACCAAATTAGCTTTGAGCTTATTTTATACTAATAATATCATTACAACCACAGTCACATAATTCAAAACCTGTTAATGATCAGTGTTTCCAAGTCAGCATAATTTACATTTTATGAGTCACATTTCCTAGTCATCAATAAAAATGGGGGATGTGGGAGTGATGGGGTTAAACTTTTAAGGACTTTTTCCAGGACTTTCTGATTAAAACCATTGATTTTCCAAGATTCCCATGATCTGTGCTAACCCTGAAAAAATTAATAATGGAAGGAAACAATTTACCCCAACACTTTGTTCCTTTTCAATTTGTGTGTAAAAAATTCCTTTTCATAAACTTATTTTTCAATTTTTTCAAGTCTAAGGTTTTTACAATCTTTCTTACAAACATTATTTATTACATGCTTTCTTTTAAGTTTCCAGAAATACTATTGTAAAGTACATGATATTACGTAATGGCTTTAATTCATTGGTACATAATAATAATAAACAGTTAAAAATTACAAAAAACTAAATCCACACAACTTCTATACAAAAACTAACATCTTTCAGAAAGTAAACTTATCCTAAGACAAAGTTAATCACATAAAGGATATAAGTCAAGTGTAACATCACCAGGAGATATCAAACATGTGACATAAACATCATCATCCCAGGAAACATATTCATAATCTCCTCCACCATCTGGTAGTACTGAAGATTCAACTGAAGACTTCAAAATCTGATAATAGCAAGCAGCTTGCTTACTAACACTGTCTGTGCTGAAACAAGCATTATAAATAGTTTATGCCTCTACTGATTCTATTACATAATAAAACACTTATTATCTACTGATCCTATTACATATAGTGGCCTTCTTTAAGCAACTCTCATCCACAAGAAAAACGAAACAGATTTAACCCACAACCATTTGTGAATGAAAAGCATATTTTCCAGAACTACAGCATTTAGAAAATGTTCATTGATACACAAGCAGCCTGTGTGTGTAATTTATTTTAAATGCTACTCACTTAAATATACATATTTATGTATATCTTAAATAAATTAAAATGATAAACAATGTTTTTTCTTACCCAAAAGTGAGAAAACCTAACTTTCCTTCCTCGTCTAAGATGTGGTCTTTATCCAATCTTTTTAACAGATAGCAACGAACATCCGTTTCTTTTTCAGCACTGAGATTAGTAGCCACTAAAGATAAGCTAAAAACAATTATACAATTTGTAGTGAATAAATGATAAACAACAAGCTAGTACACACATCATGTTATTTACATAAAGGATTATTAATAACAAAATAATCTACTAAATATTAGTTACATATCAAATTATCTCTATTTAACCTCATAGCAGATGTAAAGTAATGTAAAGAGTTCTTTTTATTTGTTTGTTTTAGAGCAAAGCCACATTGGCTATCTGCTGTGTCCACCACAGGGAATCAAACTCTAGATTTCAGAGTTTAAGTCACTAAACTTACTGCTGTCCCACAAGGAGACCAATGTAAAGAGAACTTTGCACCTTGGTCATAAGTAAACACTTAGAGAATACTTATCAATACGAGCATAACAAATATATCTTGTCGTAAGTAAACAGTTGGAGAATAATTATCAATACGAGCATAACAAATTTATCTTGTCGTAAGTAAACAGTTGGAGAATAATTATCAATACGAGCATAACAAATATATCTTGTCGTAAGTAAACAGTTGGAGAATAATTATCAATACGAGCATAACAAATATATCTTGTCGTAAGTAAACAGTTGGAGAATAATTATCAATACAAGCATAACAAATATATCATGTACAGAATGTAGAGTATTCAAGAATAAATACACACAGCATTCAGTTACTATAACATCAGGTTTTACAAAGTGTTGTAACTATTGAGAATAGGCCACTATAATATGAATGTAAAGGACTTATCCTTACCAAAAGGAAGCAGCTAAACCAAGGCCTAAATACCAAGCTGGTAGAAAATGTGTACATAAAAAGAGCACTAGACACTGCCAGTCTCACATTACGATAGATCACTCCAATGTCAAGGAGATCAGGGGAAGCAAATACTGTGCGAGATTTTAAAAAATAATAATATATATGTATATGGGTTCTGTTTTTTTTGTTTTTTTTACAATTGTTGAAATAAATGGCTTTTACTTATATTTTTTAATAGTATAAATATATACTATGTAGTTGTTGGGCTTAGGATTCTTCTACAGCAGGTGTCTGTGACTTGTTAGCGATAAATTCAATGATGAATAAACAGCACACACTTTACTTGTTTTCAAATAATATGTATATTCACAACAAGTTAAATGTATGTACAATAAAGTGTTAACACTATAGAGAATATAACCATATCGTAAAGGTTATATCAGTATATGTATAGTACTCCTCTTCTTGTCAAAAGTTCACTTAAGCCTGTTCAATTACTTTAGAGTCTCAGTTGACAAGCTGAACTATTTTCTCTAATACTATCACAATATTAGTCTGGTGTGATTTCACTTATGACTGTGGTCTTCTTTCTTCTTAAGATCCTATGTTCCTTTTGTCAAAGTGCACTTAGGCTGATTCAATTACTTTAGAATTTCACTTTGACGGAATAAAGTTATTTTTTCTTATTTCTTTTTCCACTCTTAGTTTCACTCTTAATATATATATATATATCAAATGTTAGGCCTATCACTTTTATTTTACTTAACTTCATATCAACTATATTCTCTTTGCTTTTATCTGCCAGCTGCTTCCCGCTCATCTCAAGCTATTTATATCTTTATTACATAGTTGTCTGGCCACTTTCTATATTTTGACACCAATTAGTTATTAACAAAACCTACAATCATCTGCTTTTAACTCTTATTATAACAAAACTTAAAAATAATAAAGTATTCACTCACAAATATAAATTAATCACTAATATTTAAACCAAACAGTCTTTTATATCATGACATACTGCCTTGAGAAGCTCTCTGAATTTCATGTCATCATAACATTTCAAGATATTCAATTCTCAGACCGAGTTCATTCTCAATGGCTTTAACTTCATAACGCTGACCCAGTGTTTGGAATGACCGTAGCAGTTCAACAGATCAGCAGCATCTGATATGAACCTAATGATAGGTGACAATGAAACAATCACCAATGAAGCTACAAAACATCCAGATAACTCATCTGAAATTTCACCACACATCCAAGTTACCTTTGTGTACATAAAAAATAACATTGCATATCATGCTGACAACTGGATGTTCCTGTCTGACAATACTCCTACGTATTTAGGATCCAGGTGAAACTACTAATGAAAAAGGTTTACATTCTGTTCTCCATAGAATAACCATTAACCTTATGCTTGTAAACTTTAGTGAACCAATGAAAATCACTGAAGGTAAAGGCAACAGGGGCTCCTGTATGTACCTTCCTCTTGCTAACCCTATCTTGAATGTCTTCTATACCTGGCACAGGAAACATAAAGCAGCGGCACAGCAACAACTTCTTCAAAAGGAATATTCCATACTGATGTAACAGAGTTATTGATAAAGCCTAGAAAAATACAATCAAGCCCTGGCTGAGTGCATGCAAGGGGGAAGAGGACTGAACAGAATATAGCACCTGTGCTCTCTATAGGCAATAACTTTAATAAGCATCGAAAATATGAAATAGAATGGACTAAGGAGCAGGGACAATCTCACAAGCACTTCATTCTGGCACTTTCACAATCTTATGGCTCATACAGGAAAGAAAAACAGTGTGGTCAGTCACTGATGATGTTGATGACTATACCATACTCCACATAGATGAAAACCAAAGCAAGCCCCTCTTGTTTAAATACATTAACTAATGTGACCATGATGACATACAAGATAGGCTCAACTTACAGAAAGTGGATATGGAAACCTTCTTTAGCTTGGATAAGATACACAGGGCCATCTTCAAGGAGCTTATAGAAGCTAATTTGCTGAAGTTAGTATCAATGTGGCTGGACAAGAGGTAGTATCCCTGAAATATGGACTGATGCTTTTATAAAATCCTTACCAAAGTCCATGAAAAATCTATTTTAAAGGACCACTGATATGTCCCACAAAAGAAAAAAAAAAATCCTGAGCAAGATCTCAAAGAAGTCTTGCCTATTAGACAGAACAGTTGCAGGTGATACATGGGAAGACCTTAAAGCTGGTCAGAACTCACTGCAGTACCTGGCAAATGAGGAAGCCAGCCCTTTGAGAATTGGTCCATTAAGGAAGATCCAGGGTTCAAAAACAAGGAGTTTTAGATCAAGTTCCTCACTTGCTGTTGATTTAGGAAACACAAGGAGTTGTCAGAATGGTATCATGCCTGATAGTCTATTCAAAGTTCAAGCTTGTGGATATGGAAAGAAGATTCATATTTAGCCCATGCACTAGATGTAAAATTGTCATTCAGGGATGCTTCCCAACAAGAGGGGAAGCATAGGTGAAGAAGTATAGATCTAGTTTGGTTGGAGGTAATGGAATACAGATGGTTATATTGGATTGGTCCAGCCACCTATACAAAGACTAGAATAGAGGAAGGGACAGAAGAACCATTGAGGTCAAGGAATCTTGGGAGTGGTCTCTCTGGTCATGAAAGAACCAATGAAGGAGGCGTATATGTGTGTGACTCAAAGCAGAATAAGTGGAATAGGCATGAAACCTAGTGACTGCAAGTTCCATAGCTCACAAGCAGATTGGAAAAGGCTGATCCCAGCTGAGAATAAGTTGAAAAACACCCCCAGGTGAATAAGATATTGAGTTGAAGTGAGAAACTGTTGGAAGTGGTGACAAATACAGCCTCGAAAAGATGCTGAACATAGATGGGAGCAGAAGGAGAAATGAAACAATATAAGGGCTGAAAGGAGGAGGGGAAGAGAAGTGGAAAGTCTGGGTAAAAGGTAGAAAAATTCCTGCGTGGACAGAAAATTGTGATCACAGGACTCAGACCACGACAGCCAGACCCGGCACAATTAAAACATTACTGATGAGCTCAACAAGTCTGACTGAGGGTAAAAATTGGGAATTAAAAGACAAAGAATTAGGGACTAAGATGAGATACAATGGTAGAGAGTAAGGTTGGGGCAGTGTGGAGACAAAGAACAAAAGCAAGGATTGATGATGGGCAACCTCAGCCAGTGATTAATTCAAATTAGAAATACTTTCAAACTTCAAGAGGAAGGAAGGAGTTAGGCAAAGGGCTCGTAGAAGGGAAGGAAGAAATCAAACTTGGGATAGGAGAGTATCCCTACCCAACAATCCTCAGTAACAATGAAGAGAGTGAGCAGGGAATGGTAGAAGCAGAACTGCCAGAATGGAGAAGTGAAGGGAATGAGAATCACCCACAAAATCCTCTGGGGCATGATGGAGTGTTTCAAATTTGGTGTAGAGAGGACAGGTAAAGAAGCATGGTAAAAAGGATCAGGCAAAGACAAGAGTATTGGGAACTGGAGGGCAAATCTCGTTAAATTGACAAAGAACTTCTGATGTGTTCAGTGCCAAGAAAGGTCATGAGTGCAAAGATATAGAGGAAGCTAGTGTGCAGGGTGTTTGTGCCACCCTGCTACTGGTGGAGGGTTTTTGCTGTAATAATAACGTCATTATGCAGTGGTGCAAATCAGGAGAAAACTTGTGAGATTATGTGGGAGTTGTCTAAAGGCTAGTGGCATGCACATCTCTAAGGCAAATGCACAGGAAGATGTGGCTTTCTGTGTGTAGAGGTGTGTATTGTCTCAGAAAGTATACCTACAACTAACTTGGAGGCAGTACTGTATAAAAGTTGCAGTGGCTGGTCCATAATGAATAAAATAACGCAAAGCAACTGCATGGTAACACCATCTGAATGTATGTACCAGGCTAAGTAACCCTAAAGCTAAACAAATAAGTTTGCAAGATAAACCCTATATTAAATCCCACACAACTATACTTGTAAGATAGACTTTTTCTGGACTAGCAAGATGAAAATGGATACTATAAAAGATCTTTACTGATATTCAGACTGCTAAAAAAAACAAAGAACCATGCAGCATAGCTAGGAAAAGCAAAGGATGTGGAATCAATAGACTAGTATTCAGCCAGAATAACACTGACAACATCAGTAAAATAAATTTTTGGTGGCTTTCATGTAAGAAGTCAACCTCTGGAATTATCCCTAGTGTCCAACTAATTTCAATGAACAAGTTACTATAATATCTAGTAACATAAAATTCTATAAATTAAAAATAACTGATATAAAGTTTGTGGTAGAACAGAATGTATCACTACTACATTTTGACATTGCTTGGCATTTGTTAGGTAGTGTGATACCACCAAAATTGATCACTCTTAAGACAGTTTTGGAACAGCCTTTTCCAACATAAAACCTCCATACACTCAAATGTGATCAGATTGAGGATTTAGGATTTCCAAGATGGAGATAGCCCTTGTATTAATGACATAGAAAAAGAAAGGAACACAGATCAACTTGGGTCACCAGGACCATCCACAAAAAAACTACAAATGCCATCCATGTGCCCCAAGGAACAGTACACAACATAATCAAGTAAGGTATCCATCTGGAAAGAAGGCTAACAATATACAAGTTCACAAGATAAGGTTTTCATTCAATCATTGCATACTTGAAGTAGCAGGATAATGAAATAGGTATTCATGGGAAACAAAGTGCTATGTATTTCTGTGCAATTGAACTGTTGAAACATGCACTTGAAAACCATCATCATCATTATACACTAGCTGTACTATGAAAAGCCTGCAAGTGAGGTGTGGTTTGGACCCAATATCCTTGCAACAAGCCTTTTGCAATGGGTGCTTCCTGATGGCTCAGTGGTAAGTCACAGCTTATAATACTACAAATTGGGTTTCAATACTTGGGATAGGCACAGCACAACCTGTTATATTATGTAGCTTTGTTCTTAACACCCAACCCATGAGTCAATGAGAACAAATTGGCAGGGGATTGTGAGGACTTCAGAGGGGTGGGTGTCATAATTACTGGTACTCAAGTTAGAATAAAAAAACACTTTACTGCCAAAATACTCACCTCTCAATAGTGTTCAGCCATGAAGATGTAAACTTTAGGAAGTTGGCCATACTCTGTTCGTCTTGCACAAAATAGTAAAAGTGTTCATATTCAGTCAGGTACCACACCCAGTCACCATACTGTGGCAAGTAAGTTTTTCTGAACCTTCCTCAGCCATCTCTATCAACAGATCTTGTATGGTGCATCATGTGTAACCACTACTATGTTTTGTGCACGATTTTGGATTGGAGTATTGGTTTTACTCCCACACAGCTTCAAATTAGTGTGTAATTGGCCAATTCAGTTTCCAGATAACACAAGTTCAAGTTTCTCTTCAGAATTAAAATACAGAGTACCAAAAATCTTTGTTTGGGAATCAATCCACCCAATATGTCTCCCTCACTCACAAACTGAGTGTTAATACCAAACAAACTTTACAATAGAAATTATGATTTTGGGCTATTTTCATGATTCACAATCATTAGATAGAGCATGACTAGAGGTGGTGACATGGACTGTAACAATACGAGGAGGCTCCAAAATCATTTTAATATAACAGTCAACCCTCTAAAGATCTCAAAGGATAATAAATAAGCTCTTACACTATTATTTTCAAAATCTTTAAACAAATTATTTCCTATTTAACTCTTTTAATCTGTATAAAAAAAACAACAATATACCATATTCAAAGTTACCAAAGTATCTTGGTGCAAAATGTAAATCTAAGATCACATTAATAAACTAATTTCTCTCCACATACTTGATTCCCTGTTTCTCTTCTTTTTCTTGTGTCCATCCTTCTGATTTGTTTTCAAACTGACATTCCTCTTCACTTGATGCGCTGACAGAATGATGCCTGTCAAAAATGCAGGTAACATGACTCAAATAAGACACATTTATTTTCAAACACTCCTCTTCTAACTAAAAGTTCAATAAAAGCACTTTTAAGCTTAAAAGATGAAAAAAAACTAGTTATTAATGCTTGAAATATTGTAACAAATATTTGAATGATATCTTATAAAACATTATACGTAAAGTGTGTTCAACTTGTGTCATTATATAAACAAAATTCCTTTTGACTTAAACATATTTTAGTTCCCACAAAATTATTGGACATTAAGATGTCTTTTAACACAGATAATATTGTATTATTGTGTTAACAAGTAACAAAAATTTTTAACTTCTCCATGCTACCTGCAGTAATGTTTCATTTTGACAAAGACAATATGATACTAATTAACTTTTTAAAAGCTAGCTGTGTAATACTGTACTTAAGTAGATTTTTTATATGCAAGAAGAGATTTCCACTATAATAATATAGTATGTTGGATTAATCAATGTGAACCATATGGTCCTAAATAACCTAAATAAGTCCAACAAAGTTAAAATAATAAGCACCCAAATCAAGTCCCACCCCACATGTTCTTCTTTGTTACAGAGAAAACAAATCAAAACATTAGGCAACTCTTAATAGCTAAATGACAAACCAGGAATCATTCTAGGTCTAGAACCACAACTTTTTAACATGTTGATATATTTCTTGCAGCAATGGGAACAAAACTGCACATACATATAGATCTCTAAATGAAACCTCACCAGAGACTTGTACTAGGCTACAACAGCTTTTATTCTTAGATCCAAAATTCCTACAAAAATTACTAACAACCCTTTTACTTATTTTCACCATATAAACATTTAGCACAAAGATTTACCATGTTTTATGACATATAAGACACTTTTCCTGAAAAAGCCTCTAAAAACATCCTCTAATATGTGAAGTTAAAAAAAAATGCATATCTCAGTTTTGCCCCATAAGCTAAATTCTACCTGTAGATTAAAATATAAAAATTAATCTAGACAAAAATAAACAATTAGGCTTATAATTAATAACAAAAATTTTCTAAATATACGAGTGGATTTATAATAGATAATAATAATAATCCAAGACAATTAGCGTCAGTATAACCGAGCAGTTCACCTGGGTCTTCAGTTCTAAGCAGTAAGTGTTTCTGAACAGGAACACTACTGTGTACTACAGTTCCTATTTGCAACATGCAACAGTTCTTAAATTGCTCATGTGCAGAAGACACCCTGACCTCTTTCCTTACTGCTGGGGACACTGATATCCACAACAAAATAGGATTTTTATTGCTTCCTACAGCAAACTCCCATGATCAACAAACAATCGACAGGAACAGCACGCACACTGCTGCTTCTT